CGGACACGCGCTCCCTGTCATCCGGTCGCCGTTGAGGCCGCGCCGCCGGCCCTGCTCCCCTGTCGCAGCTTCTGTCACGCGTCTCGGGCCGGGGCTCTCGCCCCCGCGCCCGAGCGCGTCCTGTGGTCGTCTCGTGCAGCCGGGCATCTTCTGGGGAGGTTCGGCGTTGGGGCGCTGCCTCCCTCTCCCGGTCTTCGGCGCTGGCGTCGGCCGGTAGGTCGGGGTGTGGGGAGTTCCTCGGGGCGTCGTTGTTAAAAGTATATGCTTTTGTGTGAGTGTTTGTTTTGGCAGGTCACTGCGTGGTGTGGCTCTCTGACTCTCACAGTTTAAAATTTTGGCTCTTTTTGTCGAACTTGTTCGCCACCCCTGCTTTAAGCAATTAATTTTCTTTGGAGAGTGTTGAGCTCAGACTATGCTAGCTTTTTTTAATGGTGATGTGTCTTGTGTACATTTCTGTAAACTGCTCTGAGTTACATGGCAAACGAGTTACACGGCAAAGGTGAGGGTTGTTTCTCTCTCCCCCCCCCCCAAGTTGCAGCTGACGTATGGCAACCTTGTAGGGATTTCAGGACAGGAGATGTTCACCATTGCCTGCCTCTGCCTAGTGACCCTGGGCTTCCTTGGTGGTCACCCATCCAAATACTAACCAGGGCTGACCTTGCTTAGCTTCCAAGTTCTGACAAGACCTGGCTAGCCTGGACTATCCAGGTCAGGGCAAGGGTGGGATATAATATTTTAAATACATTTAAATAAAGTAATATATCGTGTAGGCACTACCTATCAAAATGTGGAGGAATTAGTTTTGGTTTCAGCAGTCAGGATTTTACCCCATCTAGTATATGTCTCATAGGTGGTATTTGTATGGGTAATTGATTTGTATAAATGTCAATCAAGATATTTGTTTCTGGTATTGTTTAGGTACAATTCCTCTGCTAAAATTACAATTGCTCAATAATAGGCAGGAATAATTCCTCAGCTGATTTACTTGAAAGTGACAAAGACCTTACCAAGTATATAGTCTTCAAAGCTACAGATATAATCTACATTCAGTGTAGATTATAAGGTTTAATTTCTACATTTTTTCAAAAGTTAACCCTTGCAAAATGTAAAGCATTATATGAATACTCTAAATCCCTTATATACATTATCTTTTCTTAGTTCTGAGTGGCTCTCTAGAAGAAAAACAATAGTGTTCCAAACATCAATTTTGTGCCTTGATTGATACACATATATTTTGTCAGAGTCACACACACAGTGTGTTTTAGATTTTATGTAATTATGCTTACATAATTGCAAGCACATGTAATTATTTGCTTTATTTGGTTACTAGCAGTCAACACAAACATTAATCATTTTTAAATGTATCAGTCATTATTTTTAGAGGCACAGAAATTACAAATTAGCCTCGTTGGCCACTGGAGGTCACCACTGTTCCACAGAAAACGTTTCATTCATCTGCAGCACTAACAAAGCAGTTTTCCAGTTGCATTTGATACAGCTTGTCTATAGCTTAAGACTTGATCAGACCTATATTTCTGAGAAACATAATATTTCAATCATCGAACATTTCAAGATGCACATATTTCATGTTGATCGCATCTCTAATTGCTTTTTGTAATTTCCAGTTCAATAATGTCTGATCATTCACAACTGCAAGAAAACCTTGCATTCAGCGCTTGCTCTAATACACAACGAGAGAATCTCTTGCGTACCTTTCCTTTGTTCCAGGTACAAATATATGGCTATTTTGCTATTACCAAACCATTGTTTGCAAGCAGGAAGTTAGGCTAAGGAAAGTTCCCTCTCTTCTTCTTTGTCCTCTCTGGCACAGCCCTGCCCTCTCATTTCTCTTATTTCACCTTATCTATGATTTTGCCAGGGTACATCTGTATATGTGATAAATAGCAGGAACTCCTTTGCATATTAGGCGACACACCCCTAATGTAGCCAAGAGTTTACAGAGCTCCTCCAAGAGTTTACAGAGCTCTTCTTACAGGGGCTATTGTAAGCTCTTGGAGGACTGGCTATATTAGGGGTGTGTCGCCTAATATGCAAAGGAGTTCCTGCTACAGAAAGAGCCCAATCATTATTTATTACTTAAGAAAAAGGCTACAGAAGTTAACCTTGGGTTATTACCATAATCACTTGCTGAAGTGCTTTTAATAGGATTATTATTCTGTACCACTTTCAATACTTCCTTTCATATGCAATTTAAATACCGTGGTATTTTTAATTAAGAAAAGTCCTTTCTAAGGAATCTTCAGTTGATCTACCACTTTCCAGGCAGTTTCTACAAAGTTCAGCTCAAGTTGTCTAATCCACATCACTGGGAAAGACATTTTTTGTTTCAGCTCAGTTAATGCTTTGAAGCACATTTTTATTTATTTCCCCCACTGCTTTGAGATACAATGGATTAAGCAGTGTCTTGGTATTTTCAGTTGCTTCAGGGAAACCGGTAAATGCTGTATTTTATTGAGCCTGACAGACTCCAAAATAACATCGCACATTTTTTTGATTAGAATTTAAAAGGTCAGAACAGCTTTTGGCTTCTACTGAATCCACATCTATATGGAAGCGAAAGAAAACGCAGCAAGTGGATTTCAAGAGTGTTTCAACGTCTCTTGCAACTTGATGAAATATTCGCAGGCCTGGCCAGCTAAGAAAACATATCAGACCCTAGTTACATTGAGGACACGCACTAGAACAATCTGTTCATTATTAGTCAGCTTTCTCAGGCTATTTGCTATGCTGCAAAGTTGACTAACCACCATAATTATGTAAGCCTGTCTCATAATATCCTAATTGTCCTCTTATGTTACAAGCAACTGTTTCTTTGGGGGCTTCAGTGCAGTTTCTTGCTATGGTAGTCAAGAAAAAAATAGCCAGTGTGGTGTGGTAGTCAGAGTATTGGAATAGGATCTGTGAAATCGAGGTTCAGATCCCTACTCTGTCATGGAGGCTCACTGGGTGACCTTGGACCAGTCAGGGTTATTGTGAGGATAAAAATGAGAAAATGGAGAATGATGTAAGGTGCGTTGGGTCCCCACTGGGAAGAAAGGTGGGGTGTAAAGTAAATAAATAGTGAAGCTTGCTGGCTTCCGGTCTGACTTCTGTGAATGGCGGTCGCAACTCTGGGAAGGTCCCAGAGGTGATTCGCCCACACGCGGCCAAGGGGGGGGGACTCCGCACAAGCGGAGACCCTAAGGAGCCTCAGTGAGAGGCTCTGATCCGGGGCGCTTAGGGGATGTGCCTCTTTCCCGGCCCGAAGGTTGGAAATGGAGGCTCGCCCCATGCCCCAATGGCCCTTGCAGTGCCCCGCACGGGGACTAGCAGAACCGCCGGACGTCACCGAGTGATGAGGTGGAAAAGCGTTTGAATGGAAGATATTCGGCTAAAACTGTGAGTTGCCGGTCGGAAACGGGAAAAAAGGAGTGAAGTGCATCCCCCCCCCAGTGAAATAGCGCATGGAAGGAGGGGGAAAGCCCCCCCGACTAAACAGAGCCTGATTTAACAGAGAGAAGAGGGGGGGGAGTGAAATTCTAAAAGAGTGGTGTTACCTTTTGGTGAATTGTTAAAGGAGAGGCAGGAAGATCCATCCGTTAGCTGTGCGGCACGAACTTTTA